TTTTTTTTTGGGGGGGGGGGGGTAATTTTTTTAAATATAATTAGTATTTTTAATTTTATAAAAAAAAAAATAAGAAAGTCAATTTGAGGATGGTTTTAACCCCCCAAAACCACTCCCTGGACGCTGCCTGGTAGTAACGTTATCCAGGAAACATCTATACTCGAAGTCTTTAGCATTGCAATTTGCATAAAAAAATTGTCTGAGTTGTAATTTTTCAATCATATTTAACTTATTTCTATCCAGATTTTATTGCTATTACATTTTCATATTGTACAGGTAAAAATGTATACCTTGGAAACATTTTTGACGAATATATATTGTGATTTTTTCATATTGGATCATTTCTTTGTTTAAAAACATATCTTTTTTAGTACCTATACCACCGCCCATGGTATTAAATTTTAATAATTTTTTGCTTCATTGTTATAAATTATTTGAATAAATTTATAATAGTTAATGATCTATGACTGTATGTGAGGCGTTCAGTACAGCAACAGCACTGACCGCGGTATCACGTTCGTATGTATCCTGAATTTAAACATAATACACTTTAACAAAGGAACTAATTGATTGACTTTAATGGTCACTGGTCGGTAATGCACGTGAAATGCCTTATCCCGTATTGATACAAATTCAGTAAAATAAATTTAATTTAAATTTAGCAAGTATATAAATACACTTTACACTTTTTGTACAGTATTGGGATTTGAGACTCAGCCTACTAGGCATATTTATCCACAATTGTAGATATAATAAAATGTTTTTGACTACAGCAAAATACTTTGACCACTGATGAGGACGTTATTATAAGCTAGACTCTATATTATATTATAATTATTTATAGTTTATAGTTGATTAGTTGAGTTGCATTAATGAAATAATTTTCACATGGCCGAAGTGCGTTTCACTCTAAAATAACTTACGTCCCTATATCTCATATCGCATACGAATTATAATTCTTTTTATTTGCAGAGTGGAAGAGTCCAAGGTTGCAGTAGTATCGGACAAAAAAAAAAATTGCGCCCTGGGCGACTGTCACTTTACGGGCTATGGTAATATAAAATAGTTAATGCACCTTATTATGACATATCATAATCTGTACCATAACATTAATTTAATATACTGTCTTGCATGGTTATGTAAAAAAAGGAGACCCTGCAAATAGTTCGATCGCCCTTTGAATAATCGACCATGAGAATAATTATTGCCTACTAATCTATATTTAAAATAAAACATTAAACATTAAATATTTTAATTTAAATCATTTTTTTTCTTTGCTTAACTTGTATAATACACAGAATTGTTTTAAGAACTATTACTAATTCAACTTAAGACGATGATGCACATTGTTGATTTAAGGAACTGATCAATTAATATCTCGTTGAATTAAGAGGGTAGGTGCTTTAAGGCAGTTAAATACATAGTGAATTTCTTATTCATTATATGATTAATGATTATACTAATTAACAGCTTCCGACTCGTTTTTAAGCTGTCGAGTCTGTTCCTTTTTTTTCTATAAATGTCAATAAAATTTTATTGGTTTGGTAAAAAAGCACGACAATTAATTCAGTTAACTACAGTTAAAAACAGTTTAACTCTTGGTAACTTGTTACAATAGTAGTTGAAAAATATTAAAAATATATAGGCACAATTTTTTTTTATAAGTATTTAAAGTTCAAATGTTGACAATATTTATCAAGTTGAAAATTGAAGTTTGTAGTTTAAAATGTTCAATGGTTATATAATAATGGTTATCATTTTGTTGCAATTCGGTTCCAAAACGTTCCTATTTTACATAGGTATATTTAATATTTTTCCAGCAACACTGATAATTTAAGAATAATATTAATTCAACTTACCAACTACCATATTAATAATAAGTAATAATAATATAAAATATCCTAAACTAACATACAGTCTCCGCTCAGAATCGTTTTTCGTATTCAATGATTTGATGTCATTGAATTCAAATTTAATACCATCCATTACAGTGACCTCTTCTTAGACACCTAATTGTATAGCAGAGCGATATCCACTTACCCGCTTTTTATTGCCATATTATTATGATTTATGAATAGTTATGGAATATAGTTAAGTATATTTTTGGTAACTTAAATATAACGAATGTAATATATTTTATAACAATTTTAGCATTGACTTAAGAATCATGTGAAATAATATGATCGTATTAAATGTAAATTGTAATAAATGTATAGATGGCGGAAGATTTGAGGGCTTGAGGTGTCAATATGTCATATTATATAGTTACTTAACAACGATTCATGTACAATATATCAATACACATACATAAACATCGCATACACATGGGTAGAATTTATTTTATAGACATATATTGTATATTTATGTGTATTATTCACGTTTTTTTTATTTTTGCATTAAAACAATTTTATTACCTATATTATGTTTGATATTTTAATAAATAATAATACACTTATGGACGGTATATAACCTCCAAAACCCGTATGACCTTATATATAATTTAATTTATCTATACGTTCGACTCGGTTCATCATATTAATATTCATAATATAAAACTGTTGTTCGTAAATAATAGACATAAATTATGTGACTCGAAAATCCACAAATATAGGTAGGTACTTCAATAGAATTTTTTTTTTGAGAACTCTATAGCTATATACTTCAAGAACTGTTAGATTCTAAAATAGTAGTTACCTACAACTTTATTGGTCTTGCAGTGATTTTTAAAATCTTTTTCTGTAATTACCAATTTTTGAGAATTGTAATGCTCAACACATATTGGTTCAGTATTTTTATAGATAAAAATTCAGTCTTGATAGATATTTAAAAAAAGATATTTTTCGATTTCCCAGATTCCAATCAAAACAATTTTTAGAATACAATGGCTTATTAATGTATTTAAAAATTTAAATTACAGACTTACAACTTGAACACTCTCCTACGCCAATGGCGGAAGCGGAATGAGTTCCCATCCTCCACGGTCTCTGCAGTTTATAATACTGTCTGAATTTGAAATTTTTAAAACATTCTATAACTCTATATTATGTACAA